AACGCAAAGACCAGATAACTCATGCAACATAAAAGTGGATATTGAAGTGTAACACCCCGTATCGAGAGTCTGTTTAATGCTTATATGCAATCGTCAGGTCAATCGATATATTTCATGTTGGAAATTTCAATTAAAATAATAACATTAAACATTTTATATTTTCGTATGCACACGTATTTTATTTTTAGATATGTTGTAATTTATTTTAAAATTAAAAAATAAAGTATACAAGTGTAAAAATATCGTAAGACGTGATGTCTGTTGGTTTAATGAATTTTTTTATAGCAGACGTTATTATCGTCTACTTATTATACTGTTGATTATAATAGCGGGAAAATGAAAGAAAAGGTAACGGGTCAGTTTATTTTTCCCATATATCTTCTTGTTCGTATTCAAATAGACTCGTTTGAGTTAAGCCACGACTTGAAAATGCTCATAAAAAAGCGAGTGCGCGCCTTTTGAAAAGTTTTTTTTTTTGGTAATGGCCTTGAATAGTGCCTTTAGGAGATTGATGTCATCATCCCTTCCTCCTTCCTCAATTGGAGTAGGTTCCAGCACCATCAGAAGTAATCATCGTTTCCAGGACAACTCAAAACACAGAAAGAAACGAAAAATCTCTTCACGAAGAAAGCGGTTTTGTGAGCCAAAATTTTTACATTTTTTAAAATATATATCCAGCAGAGGAAATCGAGATTTTAAAGGGTTAAATTAAATTTAAAACCCGTTATTAAAACCCTTAGTGGTAATTTGAATTTTTTTTATAAAAAATAGGTGAGTTACCCTTTTCGTTCAGCTTTTATGTACAAAAATCACTTTATTATATGTTTGAATTGGTTGGGGAATTCTCATAGCACTAAAACCCATTATCAGTGCAATTCATGTACTATTCTTTTTTGTCTACATATAAATGTGGTTTTTATTGTAAATAATTGTTTTCTTATTTCTATAAACATCAAGTGGTTGTCCTTTGTTTATTTCAATGTATGTGCTTACAGTGTTAACTTTCATATCGGACTTGTCGTTTGTTCCCAAATGCGAGAAATTTCACGATAATACACTGCCAACTTTATTTTGCTGTTTATAGTATTATCATCCCGTAAACGTTCGACATCGCAGGCGTCAACTTCCAATTTATTTTATATATATATATATATATATATATATATATATATATATATATATATATATATGTTCTTTTTCTAATTATACCGCCGATTTTCTTGGACGTGGTTGTAAAAAGATCATAGTATTAGGGATAAATAATTTGTTTACAAGTTTTGAAGAAAGAGTTTTCGAGTGAAGGATTATGAATTTTGTGTTCATGATATTAGATTTATCGGTGATGTCTAGTTTTGGGGATTTGTGGACTTCTCAACGCTGATAGCAAGCATACAAAGTCAAGCATTCTCTAATAATTCAATAGTCCTACCCTAATACAACCATTATACAAAATACATACGTACATATATATATATATATATATATATATATATATATATATATATATATATATAATATAAACTATGCTATATTTTTCTACAACCATACCTTACAAACTATGTTCCTTCAATTATACCCAACAAACGTTCCTATATATATATATATATATATATATATATATATATATATATATATATATATATATAAATTATACTATATGTGAAAAGTGTGTATATAAATAAATATATATATATATATATATTTGTTTGGAAGTAAAGTCTGATGATCCGCAGTCCTTTAAAAAGGGCTGTGGTTAAATAATTTATTACATGGAACCTTAAAGTGGTCTGTTTTTATTTAAATTATTTGCTCTGGATTTACATTAAGCTCTCTGGACTTTATCCTCCTTAGGTTTACCCATACGGATTACCTAGTTTTTTTAAACTATATAATATATATATATATATATATATATATATATATATATATATATATATATATATATATGTAATTATTTATATATTATATACGCGATACTTATTAGAAAGCGCTCAATATCAGGAATAGAGCTAACATATTTGGTTGGATTGAACCCAGGGTCACAAACTCACATCAATCCAACCAAATATATAAATTATACTATATTTTCTTCAAACATACCTAATAAATTATATGTTCCTTCAACCATACCTAACAAACTATAATATACTCCTTCAACTATACTATACTATACTATATATATATATATATATATATATATATATATATATATTATGCAGTGTTACATTAGAATATGTACATACCCACTACAAAACTGTACATCTTGTTTCAACGTTACAATTTTTTTTAACGTTTCATTCGGTGGGGAATCACGACACCTCCGAATATCACCCGCTCTAATAATACTCGCTCGATAATACTCGCTTGAATAGTAATCCTTATAGTGATCCGAATAGAGAAATAGTATAGTGAATAGAGTACAGAATAGCGGTCAGTATAGTATAGAGGATAGGCTAGAAATGAAGATCCGTATAGTAACAGAGGATAGATTAGAAATGTGATGAATTAAACGTCACGCTACCTTTCTTATATATTTTTCCTCTATGGTCAAGTGGTCTACTTAATTCAATAATGCGATCGCCTGTGTTTGCTCACTAGCAATCTATTTTCAAACTCAAGTGTAGGCAGAGACACTTTATTCCCATATAACACTTGGCCAACTATAAAATATTTTTTACAACACAGTCAATTTGGCTCTTAATGACTCACAAGAGGTCAGGGAGGCTATTAAACACAACCGGTCAACCAAATTCATTCTTAACTGTCGCGTCTGATTAGTAATTTGGATGATACGTACGTCATTACAATTGTCTCCCTAAAACGAGGTTACCTATGACAATGCTACGCTCATTCATTTATGCTCCATGTTCGTTAAGGAGTTGGTCGATCATTGCTTTTTTCGAACTTCCTTATGACTTAGCCTGAAAATAAAACATGCGGATGAAGCATGATTTTATTGCACGAAAAATACGTTTAGTGGTTAAAAATACGTTTAGTGGTTAAAAAGTGGTTAAAAATACGTTTTGTGGTTAAAAAGTGGTTAAAAATACGTTTAGTGGTTAAAATACGTTTTGTGGTTAAAAAGTGGTTAAAATACGTTTTGTGGTTAAAAAGTGGTTAAAATACGTTCAGTGGTTAAAAAGTTGTTAATAATACGTTTTGTGGTTAAAAAGTGGTTAAAATACGTTTTGTGGTTAAAAAGTAGTTAAAATATGTTTAGTGGTTAAAAAGTGGTTAAAAATACGTTTTGTGGTTAAAAAGTGGTTAAAAATACGTTTAGTGATTAAAAAGTGGTTAAAATACGTTTAGTGGTTAAAAAGTTGTTAAAAATGCGTTTATTAGTTAAAAAGTGGTTAAAATACGTTTAGTGGTTAAAAAGAGGTTAAAAATACGTTTAGTGGTTAAAAAGTGGTTAAAAATACGTTTAGTGGTTAAAAAGCGGTTAAAAATACGTTTAGTGGTTAAAAAGATCTCGTTTCCCCCGTTACTTGACTTTATCGCAAGTCAACGTCGCTGCGACAAACATAGCAAATGAGTGGGAAGAACAGGTGCCTGTTTTCGAAAGAATCATATAACCATAATTATTCAGCCCATCATGCACAACTTCGTTGTTATAATCACAGCATTTCGACTGTTGTACTCCCTCAGGCTACTCATCGTAAATCGGTAAGCAGATTGGAATTTCGAATCGAAACCTTTATTCAATCCACAAGTGTAGATTGTTCAATGCTTAGGGTATATTTTATATCAGTTAATAATCACCACTTTTATTCAACCTTGCTTCGCTTGTCCATTTTCTCCACGACGCTTCTCCGATCTCAATTATCGCTTGTGAATACTTCTTCCGGCTTCTTGCTTCCCATGCAACATTGATCTTCAGAAATCAAATGCAATGTCAATCGTTATCGTCTGTCTTCTTAATTCCTCTTCTTTTATTGTTCTCTCTCCTTTTTAGTATTTTTTCTCATATGCTCTAACGTCAACAAAAAAAGGAGTGTGGACACAATTTTTTTCCCAGTCAAATTTGAACTTCAAAAATTTATATGCAATGTCAAACATTATCTTCTCTGTTCTTGATTTTTGTTAATTTATTGTTCTCTCTTCTTAATAGTGTTTTCTTTTTCTCATATTCTTTCACACTCAGTAACTCCTTGCGTCTTAGTAGATTTATTGCCTTACTTGGGATGAAATGATTAAATGCAATGTTAATCATTATCTTCTGTCTTCTTAATTCATCCTCTTTTATTGTTGTCTCTCCTTAATACTGTTTTTTCTTTTTCTCATATTCTTTCACACTGAGTAACTCCTTGCGTCTTAGTAGATTTATTGCCTTGCTTGGGATGAAATGATTAAATGCAATGTCAATCGTTATCTTCTGTTTTCTTAATTCCTCTTCTTTTATTGTTCTCTCTCCTTAATAGTGTTTTTCTTTTTCTCATATTCTTTCACACTCAGTAACTCCTTAAGTCTTAGTAGATTTATTGCCTTCCTTGGGATGAAATGATTAAATGCAATGTCAATCGTTATCTTCTGTTTTCTTAATTCCTCCTCTTTTATTGTTCTCTCTCCTTAATAATATTTTTCTTTTTCTCATATTCTTTCACACTCCTTTTTAGTATCGTTCACATATTCTCTAATGTCTTATCGGCTTTATTGCCTTGCTTGGGGTGAAAAAAATTAAAAAAGAACGTATGGGATTTTTTTAACATTGCCCAACCGAAGGATTGAACTCAACTACCAGATGTGTTTTAAATAATACTTTATTCAACAAGGGCATAAATTCTATCGGAGTTTGTTAATATCTCTGTTTGTGTTAATCTCTCAATCTTGCTAAGAAATCAGGCATAGCTGATCATGTATCAAGGGAAAAGGCTGGTCACAAACCCCTGTGGTATGAAGTAAAAATACTAGACATAGAAGAACATTGCGGAATCAAACGTTACATTATCAGAATTTATTCTTGGCTATCGAGTTAGCTATCCATCTATCCCATTTCATCGATGTCAGTCAGTTCATATCTATCTATCTATCTATGGACCGAACATGTGAGCAAAGAAGTGGGTTTGGAAAGGGTGAAAACAAGCAGTCTTTTCATATCAATCCATCTATCTATGTTCATATCTCTCTATCTTAGATCGATGTATATAGGAATAGACAAAGATATGGAGAGAATGAGGTATCTACCTCTAATATATATATCTATATAAGAAGAATATCTATCTATCTATCTATCTATCTATCTATCTATCTATCTATGTCAGTCTTTTCATATCTATCTATCTATGTTCATATCTCTCTTAGATCGATATATATGAATAGACAAAGATATGGAGAGAATGAGGTATCTACCTCTAATACTTATATCTATAGAAGAAGAAAATCTATCTATCTATCTATCTATCTATCTATCTATCTATCTATCTATCTATCTATCTATCTATGCCAGTCTTTTCATATCTATCTATCTATCTATCTATCTATCTATCTATCTATCTATCTATCTATCTATCTATGCCAGTTTTTTCATATCTATCTATCTATCTATCTATCTATCTATCTTAGATCGATATATATGAATAGACGAAGATATGGAGAGAATGTGGTAGCTATCGCTAATATATATCTATATAAGAAGAAGAAAAAGAAGATCTATCTATCTATCTATCTATCTATCTATCTATCTATCTATCTCTGTTCATATCTCTCTATCTTAGATCGATATGTATGAATAGGTATTAGAGATAGATATAGATAGATAGATACATCTTCTTATATAGATATATATATTAGAGATAGCTACCGCAGTTTCTCCATATCTTTGTCTATTCATATATATTGATCTAAGATAGAGAGATATGAACATAGATAGATAGATAGATAGATAGATAGATAGATATAGAAAGAATGACATAGATAGATAGATAGATAGATAGATAGATAGATAGATAGATAGATCTATCTATCACAGCATGTTCAAATCTATTCATTTATCTATCTTAGTCTTTATCAATATGCTAAGAAACTATCAAACGTTGGTAGATAAAGAATCAGGCCAAGTTACTTGTCTTCTAATTTGTCTTTTCTAGACAGGTGCAAAGGTTTCAAGCTGAAGTGCAGTAATGCCAGTCTGAAACTGGTCCAAATCACGTCACCCCATTGGAATAAATAAGACTTGAGCCTATGCACGGTGAAGTGGTTTCATTAAACTAATAGAATGGATGCATTTCTTAAGAGGTCATTGGAAGTGCGCGACTTTAAGTCGATAGTTCCGCTGAAGTATTCAACAGATTGACGGCCAATTCCACAAGTGACATTCGGATGGTCAAGAATGGCGAAGTCTTATTGCCGAGGCATAAATCGATTAGATTTAAAATATTACGTAAGCTGTAGACAAAGCTAGATGTGTAGCGGGGAGTGTAAACTTCTTGGAACAGCCAGAAAACGCCTTCATATTCAGCGCATGCGTAAATGACATCACAATCAATGAAACTGAAAAATCACCCTAAAACAGTAGACGGGCATTTTCGATACTAAACTTTACTCATTACAAGGTTTGAGAAGCCCTCAGTTTAGAGCAGGGGTCGGCAACTCATTCGACCCCGCGGGCCGGTTGGTGTTATAATGAAGGGTCGCGGGCCGGACGAAGGTCATTAATGAAAAATTAAGGAAAATTACATATGCAGACCCCTGTCAACCTAAATATTTAAAACCATAATGAAAATAAACATTGAGAAATCAGAAAAACAAAAGAAAATCTAAAATTAAAAGACACCTAACAAAAATTATTTTTCCTCGTCAAAACGTCAAAATACTTCAAAGTGAAAAAAATCAACCGAAGTGAAATGGATGAAATTATGACGTGTAGGTTTGAAACTGTTATTGAAAATTGTTCCACAAATGAACCACACGCACATACACACACATCAAACAAAGACGAAGCACATATACCCATACATAGGAGTACAAATACTTGCAAACATATATACTTACGTACGTACACATGCGGTATCATCCACACATTCATGAGGCATGAATGTATAATGCGCGTATGTTTAACTGTCTTTAGATTTCTGCTACCTCACATGTGAGTCCCTCCCTGGCCTCTTTCACTTTATCGTTCCTTTCGCTTCTGTTATCTTTTAATGTAGCCAAGGGTCATAACAAATATGTATCCATTATTTGACATTAAACGTAGGCAACGCAACTTGGTAAATTAAGTCTCATGAAAGATAACTGACAGATAGTCTAATATTTTTAGTGCACTGAGATGTGTAGGCATTCTATGGAAAATGACATTTGAAGGTCGTCTCTCATGTTAAAAATAGGGTCATTGGTAATCAGGCGCGCGGGCCGGTCAAAATGCATTCACGGGCCGTAGGTTGCCGACCCTTTCTTTAGAACCTTGGAGTAAAAAAGTTTATAATGAATGAGGTGCGTCATATGGATGAAATGGGAGGCGGTAGGAGGTTAAGATCATGATGATAGATAACATTTGGCTTGAAGAGGTTAAGATTGTATGGTTCAAGGAAGCATCTCTGTGGGAGCCTGTTGGACAAGGTAGTAACTTCTGTTTGAATTTCTCGGATGAGTATTTACATTATTTATATTCGGACTAATATCCTCATCTTTGTTGTTGTTATCATCTAATCGCCATCTGCTTTCCGGATAAGGAGTTATCGTTATTTACACTACATACTTTCAGACTAATATCCTCATCTTTGTTGTTATTATCACCTGATCGACTTCTGGTTGTAGTTCCCGGATAAGGAGTTATCATTATTTACATTATTTACATTCAGACTAATATCGTCATCTTTGTTGTTTTTTTTTATCACAACGTTTCAGACGTAGCATTCATCCATCTTCAGATGTCTTTACATTTAGCTGACCATCGTGGAATTTTGAACTGAACACTTTATTTAATCTATGGGAGATGCTAGTTCTCTTACCACTGTCCATATTTATGAATATCTCATCTTGTTCTTATTTAGTACTGCTCAGTTATGGCTTGCCCTATCTCAACTTTAAGTCTTTACTACCCAGCTCGGGGATTGAACTCACAATTACGATATCACCATATTTATAAACCGATGTTTAATCCAATAGGCCATTGTTCCGTGGAACAATCCTAAACCGAGAAATTGAAAGTTTAAACCTTTTTTCCTGCCTGCTGCAGACTCTGTTGCTGTCATTTCTCTTTTTTTATTAATGGCTTCCATATAGTACTTATTTCTGTGTAAGGTCTACTGAAGAGGCCCTCATTAGTCTAGCATATGCGCTAATACCGTCAGGCGTGTTACTCTCCAATGTTCTCCGACTAGTATACTTATTTCATTCCACTGGTTTTGGTGACTACATTTTCCCTCTATACATGATCAGCCATGGCTGATTTCATATCTAATTATGGCTTTTAGATGTTTCTGTAGTCTTATTTATAGGGGGCAGCTGTTTTCAACTTTGTATTCTTTGCCACAGCTTCAAGGAATGGAGTGTACACAATTCTTGGACATTTTCTGCTGCGTATTAGACTTGGTTTGGCAGAGATTTCTGCGTAACGTCAAGTCGATTTTGAATATTATGGAGATGTTGTATGGTAATAGCGTTTTAATCATTTCACCCCCAAGCAAGTGAACAATATCACTAGGACGCCAGTAGTTACTGAGGGGGAAAAAAGGAGAAGATTTAGGAGAAAGGACAACAAAAGAACAGGGTACAGAAAAAGAGAAGATGGCATTTGACGTTGCATTTAAATGTTTCCTTGTTTGTTTTTTGTTCATTCGTTTCTTTCTTTCTTTCTTTCTTTCTTTCTTTCTTTCTTTCTTTCTTTCTTTCTTTTTACTTAGTTTCTTTCCATAACGTTCATTTTATGTAGTTATTCTTTCTTTTTCCTTTCTTTCTTTCTTTCTTTCTTTCTTTCTTTCTTTCTTTCTTTCTTTCTTTCTTTCTTTTTACTGAGTTTCTTTCCATAACGTTCATTTTATATAGTTATTCTTTGTTTCTTTGTTTCTTTTTTTCTTTCTTTCTTTTTACTTAGTTTCTTTCCATAACGTTCATTTTATGTCGTTATTCTTTCTTTCTTTCTTTCTTTCTTTCTTTCTTTCTTTCTTTCTTTCTTTCTTTCTTTCTTTCATTTTACTTAGTTTCTTTCCATAACGTTTATTTTATGTAGTTATTCTTTCTTTCTTTCTTTCTTTCTTTCTTTCTTTCTTTCATTTTACTTAGTTTCTTTCCATAACGTTCATTTTATGTAGTTTTTTTCTTTCTTTCTTTCTTTCTTTCTTTCTTTCTTTCATTCATTTTACTTAGTTTCTTTCCATAACGTTTATTTTATATAGTTATTCTTTCTTTCTTTCTTTCTTTCTTTCTTTCTTTCTTTCTTTCTTTCATTCATTTTACTTAGTTTCTTTCCATAACGTTTATTTTATGTAGTTATTCTTTCTTTCTTTCTTTCTTTCTTTCTTTCTTTCTTTCTTTCTTTCTTTCTTTCTTTTTACTTAGTTTCTTTCCATAACGTTCATTTTATGTAGTTATTCTTTCTTTCTTTCTTTCTTTCTTTCTTTCTTTCTTTCTTTCTTTAATTCATTTTACTTAGTTTCTTTCCATAACGTTCATTTTATGTAGTTATTCTTTCTTTCTTTCTTTCTTTCTTTCTTTCTTTCTTTCTTTCTTTCTCAGCCCTACCTAATTGCAATGAAGAGGACAACCCAAACGTTTTTGACAATAAATTTTAATAAATTGTATAATCAAATTGTTTTAGGTTTGACAATAACCTTGACCCTTGAACTTTTGCGCTTTTTGTTAAAATATCGATTTTAATGTGATTCAGGCTCGTCAATATTTATATGATTCTCATATCAATTAAGTTGTACTGGGCTTTCTCTTCATTTTTTTAAAATCATTTCCCCCTGAAACAAGGCGACATTACCACTAACACGTCAGAAGTTACTGAGAGTGAAAAAGAAAGGACAATAAAAGAACAGGCTTCAGGAAGTCAGAAGATAGCGATTCGTGTTGCATTTAAATTTTTTAAGATTGTAGGTGGCGGAGAAACTAGAAACAGGAAGTTCCATAGGCGTTGAAGTATTAGAGAAGAAACTATTAGAATAGAACTTACGGTTTCATCTAGCTATTTCAACTGTAAAATGAAACCTAGTTGCCAATTTCGTAGAACGCTTAAACTCATGTGATCATGGTAGGAAGGAGGAAAGAACAGTTACCATGAAAATATTTGTGGAAAAGACTGAAGAAAGCTATGTCACGTCGGCGAGAAACTGACTTAAGACGAGATGCCAGGTTAGGGCGAATAACATTGCAGAGACTTATTTGGATTTTGTCTTTTTTCTATCCTTCTTATCCCTTATTTTACTATTCGTTTATATAAGATCGTCGTTCCCCCGGTGTTAATCTCTGACCCTCTTGTCTTCGATATCTCCTGTGTGTGTCAAATTCTCCAATCCTTGTTTTCTCGTTAGGCATCCAAGATATTTCAACTGATTCTTTCTATATAAGCGTCCTTAAAACTTCCTCACTTATTACATGATCCGACCACGGCATTCGAATTGGTTAATTACCTGAATTTTTATAATTGTTTCCAGATTTTGCGATTAATATCCGCATATAACAATTAACACAATATTTACGGATATTTATTTAGTATAATTATATTTCTTGTTAATATAATTAATTCAATGGTGAATACATACACCAAGTATACACCAAGTATAATAC